TCAGCTCGTGACTAAAACGCCATAAAGTTACAGCATGTCAATGTGTATTTAAAAGATCACTTAGTGTAATGGACAAATGTACGATAATGGGCTTTTAAAATTGTGACTTCCTTATTTATAAAAATTAAAACCAGCACTACAAAAAAATTATTTAACCTGTAATATTATATTAGTCCAGTCATCTTAGCATTTCACCTCGGAATCTAACGGAATAAGCTGAATTTTTGTACAAACCTTTATTTTAGCATTGCAAATGTTGTCTCAAAAGTCACATATGAAAACGTGTGAGCGGCCTTAGATATTCAAGGTCAAAGGTCGCAAAAATCAATTTTTTGAGAATATCTCCTTTTCTCTGCCTCCTATCGTATTTGCATTTATTATACAAGTTGTAGAGAATAAAATTCTCTAGAAACTTTGTTTAAATATTTTTTTTATACGTCTAATCGTTTTTGAGATAGAGGGCGCAGAGTGTGGAGCGCTCAGCCATACGTACCTTTAGCGCAAGGTAAATCATGAATCCCAATCTATTATACCGTTTTTTTAATTAATTATTTATTAAATATTACTTAAATAACAATTTAAAACCTTATATTTATTTTTATATATTTTTTTAAAACAGATAGTCATTAAATATTACTTACTTTTGACATACAAATAATTAAATAATGAAGTGAATCATTCTAAATATATTCTAATGTTATTCTAATTAATGATAAATGCATTTTAAGAAGAAAAGACATTAAATGAATTTGCCTTGAATATGTCTCTGGTCATCTCTTGGATCCAGATATTGCTTTTAAAATAACAGACCTGGAAATACTATAGCGGGCTTGCTATAAATAAAAAGGTTAGGTATACCTATATTTAAAGCAAGTTGTGACCCTAGGTATAGGTCTAGGGTTGTGACAGATAATATTCGTATTATTTTAAAGGTTAACATGGCTGATTTATGTTTTATTTGTAATAAGTTACTTCCTGAAGGTGATTCTGTGACTTTTGTGCGCGGTATAAAGACTTTAAAAGAAGCAATTATTGAGAGAAATAAACATAAACTACCTAAATACTTCTGTGAACGTTCATATTGAGTGTCGAAAATTGTACGCTATAGCGTACTATAGTAAAATTGCAGCAGCAAAACGTCGCCTTGAAGAGACTGAACCTTCAATATTTTGCTTATTTTGTGGAGAAGTCGCAGATGAGGCAACAAAGGCAAAAAAATCTGCAAAGTACAAACGCGTTATAAGTAAGTTTTTGAAGATATGACAATTAATGTCAATGATAACGAGGAGAGTGATGATGAGAATGAGTCTGAAATTGCTGGAAAATCTGAAAAAGATGAGGATGAAGAAGATAAAGATTAATAATAATAATAATAATTATAATATTGATATAAATAAAAACATTTTTTCCTACTACGATCCAATTATCCTTCATTAAAATTAAATTAAAATTTAAGATATATATGAAGATAAAATATATTTGATTTAAAATAAAAATAAATATAAGTATAAGGTATTAAATTTTTATTTTAGTAATATTTATTATATTATTAATTAAAAAAAAACGGTATAATAGATTGGGATTCACGATTTACCTTGCGCTAAAGTTACGTATGGCTGAGCGCTTCACACTCTGCGCCCTCTATTTCAAAAACGGTTCGAGGTATAAAAAAAATTTGTAAACAAAATTTGTAGAGAATTTTATTCTCTACAACTTTTATAATAAATGCAAATACGATAGGAGGCAGAGAAAACGAGATATTCTTAAAAAACTGATTTTTGCGACCTTTGACCTTGAATATCTAAGGCCGCTCACAAGTTGGCATATGTGACTTTTGAGACAACATTTGTAATGTTAAAATAAAGGTTTTCACAAAAATTCAGCTTATTCCGTTAGATTCCGAGGTTGATCCCTTTTTTTGACTAAGATGACTGTACTATATTATATTTGCCCCGGTAATATTAAATTTACATACCACCTTGTGCACTTCCAACCAGATAACCTTGATCAAATTCCATAGACTTTTATTTGTCACGTTCAATCACACTCTACCAACGTAAGTTTTTACAATAAAATGTATTAATTTTTTTATAATAAGATCTTTGCCCATTACTGTTGTTTTTGATTTTTTAAGTGTGGTTCTTGTTAACAAAACCCAGTTTCTTCAAATAACGTAATTATTTTATTCTAAACTTAAATAACATAATGTTTAAACATTAAAAATAATACGTACAGAATAAATATTGTTTACAAAAAAAATTCTTAAAAAAGAAATACTACATAAAGTGAGAAATCTCTGATTAAAAAGTTATTTCCTATTTCTTTAACCCGAGAAAATATGGTTAAATAATTAATTGAATTATTGTGAGGATTTGTGGCTTTTCTTAACTTTCTCATACCCAAAAAGCCGCAGAAATAATGAAATTATCTAGAAATTTAATTAATATTTGGGTCGCTATACAATTTCCGTATTATAATAAAATACAAATGCTGCAGGAAATTGTTAAAATACATCGTTAATGTTTTATTATTTATGTGTACATAAACTGTACTATACAATATCAGGAAACCAATATTATATTTTGAAAGTAATATATGGTAGGTATATAGTTTTAAAAAGCAGATATTTTATATTTATTACTTAATAATAAAAATTGATATAACAAGTATATGTGGCCATAATAGGTTTTATTTTAAATAATGAAATGTTTTAATGTTAATTCTCATTGAACTAAAACACTAATAATAATTAAAAGCCATTATAATATTATAAAGGTAAATGGAAAATATTAAAAAAGGCAAAATATAGATGAGGTGTTTCAAGCCAAAGATTTTTCTAAAAAACTGAAAGATTTTGTAGAATATTGCTTTGATTATTTCCTTCATTATAATATGAACCAATCAAAAGCCTTGAATTTTCGAATAAATTTCTTTTAAATAAGCGATTAAATCACTAGAACTATTTAACAGCGAATATTTCCCTCATTATAATATAAACCAATCAAAAGCCTTGAATTTTAGAATAAATTTCGTTTAAATAAGCGATTAAATCACTAGAACTATTTAACAGCGATTAAATTTTAGCCTCCATATTGAATTTTTGTTTACGACTTTATGGTGTTATTTATTGAAATATCAATTATTACTTATTACATACCTTAAATTAATGGAATTTTCTTTAAAAAAATATTTATAAATTTTGACACATACGTCAGATTTTATGAATTGTCAAATAGTTTCCTTTAATTCGAGAAATAATCTAGACGTATATCACTCAACCTATAAATTTAATCTGTGCTCAGTAAGTTTTTTGTTTGATTTTTCTTTTTGGAAAATAGATTCTTGCAAAATAATTAAAAACTACTGAGCCTAGTTTAACCGATTAAATTCATAGTTCTCGTGATATACTATATGATTAAATTTTAGCCTCCATATTAGATTTTTGTTTACGATTTTATGGTGTTATTTACAAGTTTTAACAAAGATTTTTTAAAAAATAATAAAAAATAAGTTATCTAGTTTACGAAATACGGAATTTTCTTTAAAAAAATATTTATAAATTTTGACACATACGTCAGATTTTATGAATTGTCAAATAGTTTCCTTTAATTCGAGAAATAATCTAGACATTTAATCTGTCAAACTATGCTCAGTAAATTTTTTTTTTGATATTTCTTTTTGGAAAATAGTTTCATGCAAAATAATTAAAAATAAAACCCCTCGACCGCTACGCGGTCTCGTGATTTTATTAAATTATTTTGCATTCAACATTTTCAAAAAAAAAACAAACAAAAAACTACTGAGCCTAGTTTAACCAATTAAATTCATAGTTCTCGTGATATAATATATGAATATTTTGTTTGTATTTTTTTAAGTTTACAACAAAAAATAATCATCTCGATTTGCCAGTTTTAAAAGAGTTATGATCATTTAAAAAATCAACTTTTTTATACATATTTTTTTTCGGGGAAAACAAATGAAAAAAAAAATACAGAAAAGTTTTTAGTAGGGTAGTATAACATATGGGAAATGATTGAGCAAGTCAAAATAAGACGAAAACCTAAATAAATATTTTTCCTTATTAGTTATATTTCCAAGATACAGGGAGATAAAGTGTTACTTATCATATCAGTTTTTTTAACTTCTACTATGGTAGTCTTGGAAAGGTGATATTTTGCGAACAGTCACTTACTACCAAAACACATATTCACAATTATTGTAATCTTGAATATCTCGGAAACGGTTTATTTTACCGAAGATTGAGAGGTACACCTTTTTAATAGAAGCCGAACTGAGTAATCGAAAAATTGGATCAAATGGTATAAAAACCTAACCTCAAAGTTTGTATGGGACAATAAGCTTAAGCAACCCCTGTTTCTACGACACTGTGTTCACTCGAACAATTGTAATTATGTGTGAATATGTATTTTGCTAGTAAGTGATATGATAAGTAACACTTTAAACATACGTAATTATAATTATATAGGAAAAATATTTATTTAGATTTTCGTCTTATGGTTTGACTTGCTTAATCTGCACCTAAATTTATGCCACTTAGTTTAGGGACACCTTGTAACATTTTACTCCAATCAAATCAAAATAATTATTGTTATTGTTATTTTACGAAATTGTTTTACCCCAACTCCCTTATTAAACGTTTTACTGTAGTAGACGCCAATAAGTTTTATGAATTGTTTTCCTAAATGCTTATTCATAATTGCATATTTTTTATACGATTCGCCATTCTTGAGTTATTGCCTTTATCGATGCTTAGACATTTTTTGAAAATCAGATCAGAGAAGTGAAGCATTTATTTAATGATATAAAATTTAAATTTTCTTTGCATTTTCAATACTCTGTATCTCGAAATGTAAAATACATGACCATAACATCCATAAAAACTGTAACCTTGATTTGAAATCAGCATGTATAAAATGTATTTTATTTATTTAACTTTTACAGAATAGTGACATAAAATCTACTAAATTATTTTTTTTTAGCTAACTGAAGAACAACAAAAAAAGATCATAGAAAATCGCGAAAACTGCGTCAAAGAAACCGGTGTGGACCCCGAAATGATCGATAGAGCAGATGTGGGCGATTTCACGGACGATCCAAAACTGCAATGTTTCGCAAAATGTTTCTACCAAAAAGCCGGATTCGTAAACGACAAAGGAGAAATCGTCATGGAAACCCTCAAGGCCAAACTCCCAGAAGAAAATAAAGAGGAAGCTTTAGCAATCATCGAAAAGTGCAAAGATAAGAAAGGAAAGGATGCTTGTGAAACCGCCTACGCGATTCATAAGTGCTACTTTAAAAATACCCATAGAATAGTTGTTGTACCGGAAGCCACTGAAAAAACTGCTGATAAGTCCACCGCCAAACCTACTGAAAAATCTGCTTAAGTACTGGAGTCAGAGTTGTTATTTATTAAGTATTTATGTGTGTTAAAATAAACAGTATTAAAGTCAAAATATTCCTTTAAATTTATATTAAATACTATTATAAATTGTATATTTGCACCATTTGGGAAAAAGTAGATAGGGCAAACAAGTCTTTTATTATGTTTTTCAAACGGTGCAGATATACTGGCCTATTTCTATTTATTGCAAAAATAAAATTTTAGTCCAAGAATCCCGGGACCATTTTGAAATCGCACATAGACAGTGTCTATTAGACACATTGTCAACGCTATTTGTTGTTTTTAAATAAAAATATTTTGATAGCCATAATATGTTTAAAATTGTTAAATTCAATAATTCAATTTCTGGACCTTAAAACATATCATGGTACAGTAAAGGCAGGGAAATGTGCTTACGTCATCCGCTTTGCTATGATTCAAATTTAGTTAAAGTAAATTTATATTAATTTTCGTCGATTGCAGACTGCAGTTTAAAATTCAATTTATTTCTGATTGCTGATTGCCCCTTAAAGCGCTTTAAACTAAAAAGGCAGTTCTTCAAAAGGCACAAATAATTAATGGAACAAATTAAAATCGTCAAAATCAGTCGAAACTTTATCTTTAGGAATTTAAAAGAAGTATTATAAGAAGGGTCCAATTTTGTATTAAATAAGGTAACTAATGGCCACTTGCACCGTTTTCTCTAAGTGATCAGTTAAATAAGCTTCCAAGTTAAAAGGTCACATCAGATTAGTTTCCAAAATCTTGCAGAGTGATATTTTCACTATGTTTTAAAATTTAACTAGTGATCTAAGGAATTTGACTAAAACATGGAAAAGATTGGTACTTCACACTTATTTGTGACGCAAATATATTTTGACGTTTATCGTTATAATCTGTGGTTCGATTCTTTATTATCTGTGGTTCGATTCTATTTTACGTATGACCCATTCAGTTGATGGTAAGAAAGAAGCCCTCTTTTTTCAGGTTCTGTATCCATATTACAGAACCTGAAAAAAGAGGGCTCGCTCCTCAAATTTTTTAGAAAATGAAAAAAAATCATTTCATTAATCTTGTGGTTACAAGGGTATTATTAAAAACAAAGAAACAGATATGGCTAAAACAATTAGAGCAGGAAATTAACAATAAAAAGGATGAAATAGAAATGACTCTATCGGATTTAAAAATTTTAGAAGAAAAAGAAAAACTTAATATATTATAATAATATACAAGAAGTGACTATTTATTTTATGTTAATTTTAAATAAGTATAAATTAAATGAAACCTCAAAAATATTATTCACATTAAATTTTAAAAATAATCTAGTATTAATTGATTTTGAAACATAATGAGATCTTGTGGGTGAGTAACAACAGGGTACTCCAGTTCATGGCTTTAATATCAACAAGCATTGGAGGCTCCCGTTTATTCATGTCTCTAGCAATATTATGTAGTACAGCTGCAGATGGAATAATGGACAAAACTGTATCTAGTTTTAATCTTAAGCCATATGCCAAAACTGGAAACCTTCTGTTTCAAATTCCAAATACTCTTTCTATTATATTTCTGGTTCTTAGTAGTGACTCATTATAGAGTAGCTGACCTCTATACATATAACTATAGTTATTGGATTTGCTAAATATGTCAATAAATAATATCTTTGAAAAAAAGAATACCGAGGTTATAAATCGTTAACGGTGGATTAAAGTAATTTAAACCCCCGAAATTGGGGGTTTATTTTAACAGTAGTATAGAGATATTAATTCACGGTGCAAGCCAGTTATGAAAAATAAACCTTTGTTAAAAATTAAACCACTGTTAAACTTACGGTGCAAGTGATTAGATTAGATCAGTAGATTTGTATAAAAGAATTTTTCATAATATTATAATTTCTAGCAAAAGGTAGTAGTCCTTAAAATTGAAAAAGCTTTCCAAAAAATTCTGGACAGTTCAACAAAGTATTATTGCACTTGACAATTAAATAGATTTATGTAATCTACAAAACAATATATATTTTTTTGAATGCGAATTCGCCTTCAGAATTGTTCTACTTTATCAGGTTTTTTGAGACATTCTAACCCAAAAGTGGCATGTTTTTATTATTTATGGTTATATTACATACATAAAAAGTATTTTTTTCCCAAAAAACTCGTTATCCACAGTTTCCAACTTCTTAAAAAAAACTGTAATTTTTTTGTAAATTTATATTATTTACAAAAATAACATACTTAAAGATACGCTGCAAATTGTGAATTATACGTTATAGTTAGGGAGCAGGTGGCAATTTCGGTATATGGTTTGCTCGTCGTTGGGAATGATATGTTATAGAGTTTTGATGCTTGCGAACTGAGTAAATAAGGTGGTATCGCTGCTTTTTTTTTAATAATTTTTAAAATTGTAAAAAATAAAACCTCACCTAAGTCATTTGCTTGTGTTTATTTAGGTTTTATATTGAATTGACCATTTTGATACTAAAATAACATTTGCCAGACGTCTAGGACGCTCGTTTTTTTTTTAATAATTTTAAATATGTAAAAAACAAATGCTCTATTAAGTGATTTGCTGGTCTTTATCTTATTTTTTTAATTGTTCATTTGTGTCCCATAAATAAGAAAAAAATAATGTCAGACATGTATGTTTTTGCAACAAATAATTTTTAAAATTGTAAAAAATAATACCTAGCCTTAGTCATTTTCCTCGTGTCTGCCATTTAGGTTTTATGTTAAAATGGCTATATATATATATAATAAAAAAACATTTTCCAGACGTCAGAGACGCTGCGTTTCTCTTTAATAATTGAAGAGTACAGGGAAAAAACGTGCAGTCAAAAAACTTAAATTTTCAAAAGAGCAATTTTAAACATGAATACTGTGTAATCTTTGGGTCCTTTTAATAAACTAACTGCTTTTGTGAACTCTTTTAAAACAACATTATGGTAAACAGTAATGTTAAGTATAAAAAACATAATACCATTATCTTTGCTTTTTTAGCTACCATACCAAAAAATATCCAAATTGAATTTGCACGTTTTTTCTCTGCAGTCTCCAATTGTTAATTATTATTTTGTGTTATGTTAATAAACAAATTTTGCTATGTTCGGGTGCAAACTATAAAATGTCTAATAATTATTATTACTAAAATAATCTATAAAGATTGCATACATTTTTTTCAAGTTTGTAAATTTTCATTTAAGTGTTAATAATTTTAACTAATTTAATAATAATTTCGGCAACAGAAAAGGGTGCAAAACCGGATTTATACCAATGTTTTAAAATTTGAAATCTTTTTTATTATTATTTTATTGGCAATTTTTTTAAAATTAAAATTTTTTTTTAATCGATGGGTGTTGTAATTTTAATTTCTTGCAAAAAATATTTTTAGGTAAAAAATGCATAAACAATTAACATAATATAAAAACAACATGTTTGTACGGGGGTCACCAAACTTGGGGGGTTAAAAGATCATATGACCCCATGACCTCATTTCAATCGCAGTATACATTAAATGGCATACTTTTATTTTATGCTTTTTTATGACCCAATTAACATTTAGTATAAATTTTATTGACGAGCAAATCACTTAAATTTTTATATATCATTGAAAGCCTTTGGAAATGTATAATTTCAAGAATTGTTTGGTTAAATTTGATAGAGCTGTGTTATTATATACTAAAACTTTTTTAGCTGTCTTAAAACTACCCACTATGTATTAAACAATTTGTCTCATGATAGTCTTAAGACTTATATGACTCAAATGACCTTGATAAAGTAAATGGTCTAAAAGTATTAAAACTTGTAAAAAAACTGTCTTTAACCTAATATTTTGCCTCAGGACACTTAAAGTTGTTTTGGAATCAAAAATTCCTCATATTCATAACATATTAAAATACTGAATAAACGGTTTAAATGTCCCCTTTGTTGGAAAACAAAAAGGCTACAGTAAATAACAGTAAATAAATGTTTGGAAGGTGTAAAGGGGATTGTAATCCCGTGAATTGTTATCGAGGCAAAATCATAAATCCGCTCTATATATCCTTAAGGCTGCACCACAAGGGGGTACTTAATTGTATATTTAATGACCTTTCCACTATGCTAGCGAAGTCGTGGTAATAGTAAATAAATTAAAGAAAACGATAATGGCGCTTACGAACATAATGTTGCATAAAAGATCTCATGTAAATAAACATTTTGTTGATACAGAGACCTTTATGGCGACATTTTATAAAATGTTGTAGAACAATCAATCTCTAAAAATGGTGAAAACTCAACTTTATGTTAATTTTTGAAACCAAAAATGTAGGGGTTATTGTCCCCTACAATTTATGAAATAGGGTCGATGCTCTATGAATCCCGCAAAATTGGGGTTAAATTTTTATTATGAGCCCCAAACGATTTATAAAAAAAATGACCATGGTCAACTTTTCCCGAAAACAATTTTTTTTCAACAGATTAACTATACTGTAATGATTATTTGGTATAATCTAAGGCAAGGAAAATACATAAAGGGAAACACTTTCATGAAGGCTTTACAAAGCTGTGCGCAAAGCATTTTCAAATATAGGGACATGTTAAAAGTTTTAAGACATTTTAAGGACAGTTTAAGGACATTTTAAGAGATTTATGAAATTTTCGACAGTTCCAGGAGAGTTCTAAAAAGTTTTGTAAAACGATTTAAAATGTAGAATTAAAATTTTTTAAATAAAATTCTTATTTAGTTGTACAAAATTTAAAAGCATTAACATTCAAGAAAAAGTTTAGAAAACCTTTTGGAAAACAAGCATTCCATGCTGCTTAAACCTAAATTACCAATAGGATTGTGCACCAAGACCAAATTTGACTGCCGAGAAGTTGCGATTAGACCACTTCAATTTTTTGTTTATTAATAAAGTGTATATGATTTTTATTGTTATATATATATATATATATATATATATATATATATATATATATATATATATATATATATATATATATATATATATATATATATATATATGCAAAATATACTATTTTAAGATGTCTTGGTTGCCTACCAATCACAAATATGGTTGTAACCAGTATCATCAAAAAATAAATTATACAGCTCTTTTGTTTGATG